TTTGCACACCTCTATTCATAGGCCTCTTCAAGTTGATAACGCCTGATTTCGGCTAAAGCCCTTCTATAAAGAGCTTTAGTATTGTTTCCATCAAACATAATAACTAAAGAACTGAGCTCCTTAGTTTGTTCATAATCACGAACTTTTAGGGCGCAAGCTGCAAGATTTAACTCAAGGGATATGGCAAGGTCCATAGAAGGGCACAATCAACTTCATTTCTGGCAAACAAAAACACAGAAGTTTCATCCCTCTGTCATACTTAGTCCTAGCAAGAACGACTTCACCTTTGTTGAAGTAAGTATTGCCCTCCTCCTTCAATACCTTTGCTTGATTAAGAATATTCCGGGGACAATTGTTTTTGGCAAAGTTGACAATGCTTTAGTCATAGTCATCGTTCAAGTGAGTGTGCATAAGGGCTCTAAGTAAGTTTTGGCAGTCCATAGCAACCGTTCTAAAAAAGCAGAGAGGGAATTTGACAGGCTACTTCACAAAACAAACAACAAAGAACACACAAAACAGGTCCAAGGAGAAATCTACCCCTCGGAATACACAACACAACAACTAAGAGCAATCAAAAGCGATGAGAAGGGCTTTAGCATCCAGGGTTCAGCCGCAGACTAACGCCGGCGACCGAACACAGAGCCCAGCCAGCTGCGGCAAGAAACAGATGCAGACAAGCGATGACCGAGACCCCACGACCAAGCCAAAACCTGGCGGTGGTAGGGGGAGCAGACTAAGGGTGGCAACCACCTTTATATCCCACACGAAGGGCCGGCAGTTCGCAACCAGTGGTAGGGGATAATTATGGCAGATCAGTCGTTGATCAGAGCCGTCACCAGAAACACGCTACCTCGGCCAACGAGTTCGAAGGTTGTTGCGTCAAATTAGCCTTGGGTCCCTTCACAAACTTGCCGGAGCTAAGCAGAAATAGGCTCGCCGGAGATCGAGGAGGAAAGCCACCTACTCTAATCGCCGGCGGCCAGCCGAATGACGCAAAGATGAAGACTGGTTTTGAAAACTAGTGGGCTTGAAAGAAACTGGTTTGGGGTTTTGTTATTGCGCGTGGGGCGCATTCTATGTCAACTTTTGACATACCATACCTTACTACAATAAAGAAAACCTTCTAAAGTTTTGTACAAAAACCAAAGTACATAAATTACTCATTCAAACCGTACTACATATGAACTAATCTAATCTGTCCAAGAAAAATTAAGTTAGATATTAACATGAGATTCCATATAAATTTATTGCACTGTTTACTTAACCAATAATTAGCACTTTGTATCAACCTAACGATATCACAAGACTCGAACTCTATCTAAACCATCCAAACATCAACAAAAACCCCATATTTATAGAACCAAATTGACAACAACCCTTAGATTTGAAGATTTTACACCAAAATTTAAGATTATTTCTCCAATTGAGTCAAGTGGGGGTGAGTAAGTGTGACTCACTTGTTCTTGGTTGTATCTTTGTTTCTACTCCCACAAAAAGCCTCCCTCTATCAATCCATCAATCCTCTTATCCTCACTCACCCCTTTTCTCCTTAAACCCTCTCTTCTCTTCCCTTCTTCTTCGCCTCCCAATTCAATCTCTCTGCTAAAAAAATGGCGACTTCAACAGCAAACCCATTACTCAAAACCCTCTCAATATCCCCAACTTGCTTCTATACTCCCTCAATTTTCAACCCTAAATCTCTGTATTTCACAACCCCATTAAAACCCACCAAGCTAAGTCTTTCACTCTCTCAAAAACCTCCTGTTGTTGCTTATGTTGCGCAGACCTCTGATTGGGAGCAAGAGGGGTCCACCAATGCTGTTCTTGAAGGAGAGGAAGAGGTTGTGAGTTGGGGTTCTGAGCCTCAAGTTTCTGAATTTGCAGGTGAAGATGTAGGTGCTGTTGAAGGTGGTGAAGGGTTCCCTGAACCTCCTGAAGAGGCTAAATTGTTTGTCGGTAATTTGCCTTATGATGTTGATAGTGAGAAATTGGCTCAGCTTTTTGATGGTGCTGGTGTTGTTGAGATTGCTGAGGTAAATTCCTTTCTTTTTTGGGTTTTTAGTTTTGTTAATTTTGATGGGTTTTGTTGAAAATTGGGGATTTTGATTAATTGTTTGTGTTTTAAGTTTGTTAATTTTAATGAGTTTTGCTGATACAATTGGCAATTTTATGAATTTTTTTGGGGTTTAAAGTTTGTAAATTTTGATGGGTTTTTGGACTTTGGTGATGATTTGGTTTATTCTTGGTTGTAATTTTGTTAATTTTGATGGGTTTTGTTGATAATTTGGAATAATTTCTGGGTTTTTCTTTGATGTTGTATTTTTGTAGGTTATCTACAACAGGGAGACTGATAGGAGTAGAGGGTTTGGATTTGTGACAATGAGTACAGTTGAAGAAGCTGAGAAAGCTGTGGAATTGTTGAATGGATATGTAAGTTTACTTTCTTATCTTAGTTTGCTGCTTAATGTTATTGAATTCGCTTGTTTTGTTTGTTGTGAAAATGGGTTTTGTTGTAGTTGATACTTGATACACATATGTGCAAAATTTGGTGTCATATATAGTGATAAAACGTTTTTCCATGTTATTTGTGGAAATGGTGTTCAATTATTGATGTTATTGCTATCAAAGAAGTTGTTTTAGTTGATATAGCTCGATTGAATGTATATTCATGACCATTTTGGAAATGTTGTTCAGTGATGAGTATATGTTATGGCTAATGAACTGTATCTAGATGATGTTTCTATGTGCAAACTTTGGAGTCATAAACATGACTGTTGAAAAGTTTCTGCTAATTCTGCATTTTATGATCAATTTAATACTATGATTTTGCGATTTATCAATGTAAATGACAGTTTTGAGATGGAGGAGAAAAACTCTAGATAATTGTGGTTTGCGAATGCCGGTAACCTTCCATGGGATGTTGCTATTCATGTAAATGATGCTGCAGTAGTTTAAAATGAGGAAGCAATTCTAGCTTATGACTGGGAAGAGTTTAGTGACTTTAGAGTTTATGTTGAGGAAGGAAAAGATGTCCTTAGCATATGTTTCTTGCATGCTTCTGGCTGGTTTTCTTCCATCTATTTTTTATTTAATGGTATTTGTCCACCCCCCCCCCCCCCCCCCCCCCCCAACACCACACACACCCTCTCTTTTTGTGGGGGTGAGAGGAGGGAGGTCAACTGACACCCAAGAAGCACTGTTGTGAGTTCTAATATGGAAAAGAGTGAATCTGTTTATGATGTCTGATAACATATAGATGAACAAGTTTCTCCTAGATTGCTGACCTACAGTTGCCCTGTTGGACATTTTTGATGCGATTTAGTTGCTAGACTTGTGTAAGTTCTAATTTAGCATCATTTTTTTAAGCTTGCCCAATTTTTAGGAAGCAATAAATACTTCAACTGGTAACAATCTTGGGGTAGAGCAGACTTCAGACTTGTGGGCTGTTTGTTTTTGTTTATGTTCATTGATGATTCATTTGAGGCTATTGAAATGAATTCATAAGTTGTGTTGCTTCCCTTGTATTTGGAACAGGATGTGAATGGAAGGCTATTAACAGTAAACAAGGCTGCCCCAAGGGGATCACGCCCTGAAAGGCCTCCCAGAGAGTTTGAACCTTCTTGCAGAATTTATGTTGGCAACCTTCCATGGGATGTAGACAGTTCACGCCTTGAGCAACTTTTTAGTGAACATGGAAAAGTTCTTAGTGCCAGAGTAGTTTCTGACAGGGAGACTGGCCGTTCGCGTGGATTTGGCTTTGTCACGATGGCCTCTGAATCAGAGGTGAATGATGCCATTACTGCTCTTGATGGACAGGTAACTCTAATATGCCATTCTAAGGAGGTTCAGTATATGTTGTTTTTTTTTTTGCTTTTGCTATGGTGTGGTACTGATCTCTGAATGCATGCTCTTTATTGTCACAGACCTTGGATGGAAGGGCAATCAGGGTAAATGTTGCTGAAGAAAGACCAAGGCGTAGTTTTTAATCTGCTCCACAAGCACAACTCAGCTGTTTGATAGTATTAGTTCTTTTGTCTTTTTTTTTTGCCCCCAACCTTTTGATTGAGACTATTTATAGCTCATATTTTGACAGCGGCGGTTCCAAAGAATGTTGTGATTTTAGTTAGTTTATGCAATGGCTGCAATTATGGCAATACAAACCCATTTCGTATTTTAATATACGTAAAGTTTGTTAAAGTTCATTCTTCAAGGTTTCATAACTGCTGTTTGTATTTTGTACTGTATATGGAGCAGCAATTTTTTTTATGCAATATCCTATTGTTCAAAAGACTTCAAGTCGTTCCAAGACCCTTAGGATCAATCAGTTATTCCAACCTGCACATTGCACCCTTTGCTTCCTTCGGTCCTGTCATCTTAACTACCTTCAAGCAGCATCCTAGTGGTCTTCAACCCAAGTCCTGAGACAATGAAGCTTTCATCTTGTCAAGTCTTTGTATACCGCATAGATTTTTGTGTTTCGAGTAAAGCCAATGAATCAAATTGTAATGAAAAACCTCTTCTTTTCCATTGATGAACTCTGGGCATGTTTACTTACATGCCGAGATAATCAGTGGAACAATTACCATAGCTTTGGCTGAATGGGAGCATACAGAAGCAGAGTCATCTACCCTTTCATCCTCGTCCAATCATCCAAATTCACGCCAAACATTTCCCTTCCTATTTAGGATTACTGAATAAATTTAACTTTTCCCCTTGAAAATGCAACGAAACTGAGCAAATCTTTACATATGAAGATTCATCTGCTCATATTATATGTATACAAAATACAGTTGGCAAAATAACCAGCATTAGATATTATAACTCATGGAACCAAGTCTTTAGTGATGCTCAATCACAACATGGTGTTGTCATGACTTGCAAGTAGATGAGCTCCACTACTCCAGACAACAACCCACCTACCTTCATCTCCTGTAGGTGATACGCTCTATTATGCACCACTTAGCTTGTCATTCGAAATTTATGAATATGCGCACTTAATCTGTAAATAGATGGGGGGAGGGGGTCATTCTGAGGTAAATCAAGTGATGGAACATTATTTCCCCAATCAAGATTTGATACACGTCAATATTTACAAAAACGGGGGGAAGTACATACTGACAAAACTCATACATAACGTCTTGGCAGATTAAAAGGAAAAAAATAAAGTAAGATGATCAATATAGAGCATAGATAAGCTGAAGGGAGTTCATTTAACCCCGCAACTGCTCCTCTCGACTAGTCAGTGGAACATATCTCACGGAAGTTTCAGTTTTGACACTGAGAGAGCCATCCTCTTTTTTGTCAATCACCTGCAAATCCTGGAAGTAGGTCCCCACAGGAATCACCAATCTGCCACCAGGCTTCAGCTGCTCAACCAAAGCCTTCGGAATTTCTGGAGCTGCAGCCCCAACATGGATCGCATCATAAGGCGCAGCCTCAGGATATCCTAGCCTTCCATCTATCATCATGTTGCCATATGATCATTGCGTTAAAAGAGATGAAATCACAGCATTATAAACAACCTATAGGTAGCACGATAATGTTGCAACTAAAAAGCCAAGATGTACCAAAATACGATGTATTACACAAGAAAAGAAATTGTAGAGTAAAGTGCAAGTGCTTTGTGATCTTACCACCAACATGAACAGACAAGGATCCTCCTTCAAGCAAAGGAGCAGCTTTACTTTTCTTAATATTTTCAATAGACCAATTGACCAGTTCAGGTATGTGCTCAATGCCAACCGCACGACCTTCTGATCTAACCATCACTGCAAAACATGCAGTCAAGTATCCTGTGCCTGCAAGCACAGTAATGTATCAGTAACGTCACTCACTTGCAGAGTAGAAAACAGGGCTAAACTAACAGCCAATTTGAAAGGTGTTTAGCTGATGAAGAAGCATTGAAACTATTGAATGATTGAATCAATTCCTTATTTTTATTTTATCTCAAACTCAACCCTTAATCCCTCCTCCTCAACAATTGATCTCAATTTGATTTTAAAGTACACCAGGCTTGATCATGCTTGTTTGTTATCAGTACATCGCCTAGTCTTCCACATTCAACTTTGATTGGTTTCATTAGCAAAACAAATCCATGGTAACTACCTTGTCAAGGAAATCAGGTATACACACAATTGAAACTTTGTTCTCTTCCCTTATAGAGATGCTTAGGGTGATTAGAATGAAATACCACCTTTACTTCATGTTCATGAAAAAAGAGGAAGAGGAAATCGGAAATTACAACCAGATAGTTCAGTACTTCAGTGGCACAGAAAACATCTCTTTGCTTCTGTATAATATGTCCTCAGCCTAACAAAAATTAGTCACGTGATACAAGTACAGAAGGAGCCTTCAAGGCTTTAGAAGTTCTAACGCATTTGATGTCACGACAGAACTCCACCCATGAGGAACAGGCACATTGGAGATGGTAAAAAAAGCATAGATATGTTAACAAGTCTACAATATCTGGTGATAAATCTAAGCAAATGCCCATAATGACGAGGGTTCAATAGCTAGTATTTGTTGTTCATCATTATGAATCATAACCACATCTCTGGGTGGTACTTGTAAGTGGTAATGAAAATAATGAAGAAATACATTGCATTGATGAAGATGTATCAACTGATCAACAGGAACGATATAAGAGACATTGCACATGTACATTTCAATATTAGGCAAGCATATGAAGAAGAAAATCACCTGAACCAACATCTAAAGCATGCATCCCAGGCTGCAGGTTTTCCTTTAACAGTTCAAGGCACATTGCATGCATATGAGGAGCAGATATTGTTGCATTATGGCCTATCGGCATGGGGCTATCCGCATAAGCCGGAGTTCCATCAGGAACAAACAAACCTCTATCAATGGTTTCCATAACTTCAGCTACCCTCTCAGATCGAAAAACTCCACAGCGACGTAACTGATCCACCATACTTTTGTTTCGAATCATGTCACCACCAGACCCAGAAAAGTATTTCTGCAGATAAACACACGAAAATAATAAATGCTTTACTCAAGTGAAACACACAAAGGATATCAGTCAGAGTGCAAGCAATCAACTGGCAACGAGTACAATAAAACCTTCCAAGCCATCAGACCAAAATATGTCTTTGCAGGTTGTTCAAGTGTTCGTTTGCGAAATTCAACACAATATATTCAATTCAGCCACAAATTCATCTAATTTTATGCTGATAGTGAGAACTCATACCCCCAAACAAAGGATTCCAAAACAACAATGACAGCACAATAAAACCAACACCCCAATAATTCTCTCTTTTAACTGTAAATACCTTTATCAAAATGTAAGGAGTTCCGTAGAATAGCAAGGTCTCAACCTCCCTTAAAGTATGGTAGCTTAACCTGAGTAAAATTCATAAACATCTCTCCCGCAAGATCAGGTTGATCAATGCGGTTCTGGTCCAAATTATGAACATTTCACTATACCAGCCTCCAAATTTTAAAAAACTGAGTTCTGACTAGTATCAAATTAAATTACCTACATCATCCTAATTCAATTCAAAGATTCAAATATTCAATACAGCATCATAAGCCAAATATGACTTACAACAAAAGGCTAAAACTTTTTTTTCCTAACCAAGACTCTAATAATAAGCAACAAAAATCAGTAGAAGACCTTAAGAGTGCTTAAGACCACCATCTTCCACAATAGTCATGTAGACGGGATTTGATCAAATTAATAAAACCTCTTCAACTTATTCAAGCCTTTCTGTACAGCCATTGATTTATACATATACAACACCAAATTACAAAGTCCAAGTACTTTTTTTCCGCATAGGGAGTCGCAAAGGGTAATGATGTAGACGAAACTCAATCAAATAAAACAATGTCAACTATGACTTACTAAAACTCTTCATTTCAGATCAAGTACCCATGTCAGACCCTCAACACTCCAACGACATGGGAAGCAACATTTGGGCACTTCATTTGGAGCCAAAAGCATGTAAATTTTCACAAATCAGCCAAATTTTGACACTTAAACACATAATTACCAATAGTCACATGTCCATAATCAAGAGTCAAAATATCCAAATTCAACACCTTTTTAGTAAAATCACCCTAAACCAATTCGTCTTAATAGTAAAACATACATGGTATCACATAATTTAACACATTCATCATCAAATAATCATAAGAAACCCAATAATTTTGTGGGATTTTGACTCAAAATAGTAAAAACCCAAATCACCATTAACACGCTGGAAATCAAAATAAGTAGGACCAAACCAAACACCTTTCTCTGTCACAAATTACAACAAGAATAAAAATAATTTTCTAAATACCAAATTTAAAATAAATAAAAAAAAATCCAATAAAATAATAATAATATTAAAATATGAAAGAAAATGAAAGAGAGAGAAAGAGAACCTCCATGCGAGAGAGAAGAGAGTTGCCCGTGGTGGGGAGAGGAGATGAAGAATGGAGTAGAGAGAAACGAGAAGAGGTGACACGTGGAAGAAGGAGAGGAGAGTGGAGTTGAAACGTGGGAGAGGAGAAGGGAAGAAATTGCTTGTAATAAGGCGCACGATAGCGGTAACCATACGCCAACATAGGAGATGAGAGTAATGGCATCTCTTTCCTTTTCTTAATTCTTCTTATTTTCTTTTTTTAATTTTTTTATTTTTAAAATCAAAAAATTGGAAATTTCTCGGAGTTTCATTTTAGTCTATTTTTATGTTTTTTCTGGAAATCTGGATTATCCAAAAAAAAAAAACAGAGAGTATTGGGTTGAGTTAAGATTGATGGACCAAGGAGCCCAAATTCGTGCGCAAACCCAATTCTAAATTTGGGTTGAAATAGGGCCCGTTTTGTTGAATCATTATGAATCTCATTCTTGTGGGCTAGAGTGCTAGACACATGTGTTAGGGCTAGTAAAGTCGCAATCCATGACTTGACCCAACTTGAAGTTACGAAGAAATCTGAGGCTGAGAACAACTTGAATTTAACCCTAATTTTATCCATTTATCGTATTTTGTAATAATACAAAGTTTTAATACAACCCAAAATTGATCCAATTGTGATCTAAATCCATGTTGACTCGAATTTTAAGTAACCTATAGGCTTTTTCCTGTACCACTTTTTCGCATAAGATAGATGTGATCATACTAATATATGATTACTAATAGTACGAGGGTTCATAAACATATTATTTACCAAATTTGTTTTAAGGTTATAGGCAGAATCTTATTTCTTTTTTTACTTTAGTTGCTTTTGCTTTTAATATAATGAATCACATGAAATGTAATCATATTATTCTCATATCCTACAGACAAAACATAGTTTATTATTAGCTAAAGGATTGCCAAGGAAGAAAAAAGATGAAAAATAAATATATTATTGAAGAGCATCATTTATAGAACCACATATTACTCCATCCAAAAACTTTAAAATTCAAGTAGTAACGAACGATACTATATGGTAAGTCAAAATTTGAGGAGGAAATATTTTTATGAGACCAAATAAAACTCTAATTTTTTTTGCACATGAAATTGATCATAGTTTACTAGTGCCACTCAACCCTAATATATATATATATATATATATATATATATATATATATATATATATATATATATATATATATATATATATATATATATATATAAATTATAAAATTTATCTCTATGTAAGTTTGTGTTCACCCCACAACTATATATATGGAGTATATAACTTGCCTACCTTCATTACTTTCCATATCCCCTTTTACTTATAATTTTATGCAATTTAAAGAAGAGTCTAAGATAGTAAACGAACAACTTAGGCTATGTTAAGTTCATCTATCTAATTTGTTTGATTAAAATTTTTATAATCTGATATGGCTTAAACTGATTTCAAGATTTGATAAATCTTGACTGTAGCTATATACATACTAATTCATAAGATGAAAATTATATGATCATTAAATCGTAATGATATACATTTTCCAACTATGAAATTTTTATAATATTTTTTATTATGAAATTAAAGATATTTATTAATAAATAAACATAAAATATATATATATATATATATATATATATATATATATATATATATATATATATATATATATATATATATATATATATATATATATATATATGATTTGATTTGGGCGTGTGATATGATTTGATTATGTATGAAATAAGCAAATATCAAATTGAATAAGTTAAATAGTGTTTTCATTAATAAGTATAACACCATTGCACAATATTGAACATTTATATCTAAAATTGTCATTTAATAAAATTATTAAAAAAATTGATATTTTGAAAAAATATATTGAAACAATTCTATCAAGATCCCCGCATGACTATATTTTTCTTAATTATTAAATAAAAAATCGCACACGATGGTCAAATGATATTATGTATTTAATTAAGTAAATAGTACGTGCTAGAGTCAATATAAAAAAAACCGGAGGAAGTAACAAACTCAATTCACTCTAGTTAAAGGGTATTATATATGTATTTAAATAAGCAGTGTTTAATCTTTATTTTTTTTTATTTTTTTTTGAAGAAAAATTTAATGTGTTTTAATTTGTCTATTTATATTGTGTATTGATATTGATTGTTTATAAGAAAATTAGTGTTTTTAATTTCCCTCCAAGTAAAATGTTTGAAGTTCATCTCCAATTCTATACCTTTAAAAGGTTCAAGACTTGAAGTGCAAGGCCAATTATTAAAAGGAAAGTTGGTTCAATGTTCCAGCATAGATTTCAGAGGAGAATTTGCTTCACCTTTTGTTTTAATTTCCAGGAACATTATTCTCGTCATTTTTAACTTTAACTCGTTTTTTCCTTGTTCTTGCCAACACTAAACAAGTCATAGTATGGAATATTGAGAGAATAAAGTAATTAATAGGCTTACGTGTATTGGGCCATGGTACTATTAACACTTTTTTTATAAGAAGATACTTGCATATCTTAAACACACAAAACATGCTCTTAATTATTGCGACATAGATTTAGGCTACAACACTCTCTATGGTACATGGAATTTGGATATTCATGTCAAATGTGAGTACCTACATATGTCAACATGAAATTTATGCAAATTAGATGTAGACACTTATTATGTAGACGCTTGATACCAAGGTATCGCACCTTTTCAACCAAAATTTAAGTTATGATATAGTTGAAACCCCAGAATTAAATTTTATATTCTACTACGGTTGTTTTAGGTAAAGAAAATAAAGAATCGAAAAACTTAAATTGCACTTGGCCACCCAGTACTTTGCAAAATAACATATATGTAAGGAGTAGTCTACTTGTTATTAAACCATTTAATTAGTATCAAATTTATCTTTAAGAGATCATCAAATTGTACCTCTAGGATTCATCTTTATCGATTGTTAATTTTGACCAATCACGCAAATTACCAACCTTGTGAAGGAAAGGATAATATTACTTGAAATTCAAGGTAAAATTACTTTTTTTTTTTGGGCATTATGTCATGTTGATGATGATCAGAATTTATCGTAAGTTAAAGTAATTTAAAGGGCCAAAGCAATTTACCTTTTGAAAATATGACTTTCAACCACATGTCCCTAAGTAAAGCTAAGAGATGTAAAATTGTTCACATTAGACATGCTAAATCTCATTAACAACATTTTAATAAAATTTCTTAGAGACATATTGGATGTTAAACCTATGATGAATAAATTCTTAAATTGTATTATGAATCCACTTATATATAAGGAAATTTTGTCAATTACTATCTAAAAAAGATCATCTTGTAAATTACTACCCGTAAAAATAAAAGTTGTTAATTACTACCTTAAAAGTGAAAATATGTTGTTATTTACTACTTATAAAAGTGATAAAATTGTACGATTATTACTTTCAGCCATTTTTCGGCGAATTAGTCTAATTATGACATCACTTATTACCTTAAATACAGTTTATGACATTGTAGCCCCATCTTTGTAATATATTAGTTACCTAATCGGAAAATGAAATTTATGACGTTACTTTTTTAGCCAAAAAAAAATGTAATTTATGTCAATTTAATCTATTTTAATCACTTACAATGGTTTTCCCTTACTAATTTTAATGTAAATTAGATTTAAGGTGATAAGTGACGTAATTGACGTTAGTATTGGGCTAATTCTCCAAAAAATGATTAGAGGTAGTAATCATACAAATGAATCAATTTCTAAGGTAGTAATTACCAACTTTATTTTTTAAGGGTAGTAATTGACAAAGCGTCCTTTTTAGTTTAGTAATTGACAAATTTTTCTATATACAATTTGAAGATAAAACTTTTAGTTTGTACGTACTACTAAATCATACAACTATACAAGTACCAAAGAAAGAAAATATATTTATGTACATGTTTATTTGTTCAGTATTGTTACACTCGCTATTGATGCCGGGTTAGGAGACTGGTTAAACCGAAAGATTAATTTGATGGTTGAAGTTCTATAATGACTACTATTAAGCCATTTAACACCAAATTACTTTATCACGGGTGTTTCGTGTTTGATTGAAGTGAAATGAAGAATCGAGTAACATGTAGTACTCTTGTTATTAAGCTATTTAGCACCAAATTAATTTTTAAAGAGATAATCAAATCTTAAAATAGAACTCATCTTTATCGTTGTTAAAATTGGCCAATCAAACAAATTACCAACCTTAAGAAGGAAAGGATACTTTAACTTGATATCAAAGGTACAAATACTTCCTTTTTTGGGCATTATGTCACGTTGATGACGACCAAAGCTTATTGTAACTTACAGTAAAATCGCAATTACTTCGTATTAAAAAATGGAGGAAGAAATTACTCAAAAACAAACTAAGAAGTAATCAACTCTGTTTTTAAGCAAAGATGTTCTAACTAAATGATGATAATAAACTTCTAAGGATGCTGTAAAGATGTTCAAGGGACCACCAAAGCTACATAACCTTATCTTATTACATGGCTTTAGGTTCTATGCAAGTAAGGAACTTGATTCTAAGATCTTTTAAGACTTTATATCACATTATCATATTATGTATTTTAACAAAAAAAATAAAATTATTACACATTTTTTTCACTATATAATGTTCAGTTCACTGAGCGCCAGTACAATAGTACACTTAGTAACATTCACTAAATTTTCAGTAGAAAGGTAGTTAAGAAAAAAAATGTCAAGTGCACCATCACATAGGCAGATGGCTAGGAGTGAACGTCGGATGTTTGCTGCATCTGACGACAGCACAATGCTGAAGCAGATCCAAGGAACACATGCTCCTGATGGCCGCGATGTAGATGTCAGGCCGATCCTAGAAATCATTGAGGATGTCTTTCAGCGTGCTGCCCCTAGCATTCCTGTATGTTTATTCCTTCAGTTGCTTTGGTCCATCTTTATTTTTTTTGTATATGTCTTCTGTTTTTAAATTGTGATCATTATATTGTTCATTATGCAGGGTGCACATATTGAATCTTTGGATGATAAGACTGGTGCAGCCGTTGTTGATGAAAATGGGATGCTTGAAGCATTGGCTTTTGTCATTCAGAAGGTCTCCTGTGAGGTACTAAAAGAGTCTGTTACTCGCGATTTAAATAATTTTGTTGCCCCTCTCGGCCTTGCCCATCAGGACCACACCTAGTCGTTTTAAATGAATGTTGTACTTGTGTGTCTAAAATATAGCATCTAAGGAAAAACAAATTTTAAACCTGCAGATTGATATAAAAGCTGCAGAATTCATTGCATAGATTGCCAATTATAAATCTAGTCAAAACAAAGGTCGCGGACATTAGAAAAGCATAATGGTTTCATAACATATGTCCTGTATATTGGCAGATAACATGCAAATGCGCGGGAGGAGGAGATGCACATGCGACAACAATGGCACTTCTCAGCTTGCTCTCAAGCTATTCATGGGATGCAAAGGTAGCCATAGCTCTCACGGCACTAGCAATAGCCTATGGAGAGTTTGGGTTGGTGGTTCAGCTCTTCTCCAGTCACCCTCTCGCCAAGTCTGTTGCTGTCCTTAAGCAGCTACCTGACGTAATGGAGCACTCTAACGCACTGAAATCCCGCTTTGAAGCCTTGAACAATCTCATTGGGGCGATGTTGGATGTAACAAAGAGGATTGTGGAGTTCAGGCAGCTGCCTCAACAATACATCTCAGCTGAGCAGCGGCCTTTATCTGTTGCTATGACACACATTCCAACTGCTGCTTACTGGACTATCAGGAGTGTCGTGGCCTGTGCCACGCAGATTTTTAGTCTTATTGGCATGAGCTACGAGTGAGTTACTCTTAATTCAAACAATCTAATCAGATCATTAGTTTATACTGAATATTCTTTTGGTATCTTACTATTTCCTTTGTTTTCTAGGTATGTTACATCAACGACGGAAGCATGGGAGTTATCAAGCTTGGCTCATAAGGAGAGGAACATTCATGACCACCTTATGCAACAACTTGCACTTTGCTATCAGCATATAGGTCAATCTTCTTCGTATTTCCGCCAAAATTAATTGTTGCATTGTCCTAATCCATCATTACTAATAATGTCATATATTTAGTGATAGATCCCTTATGTTTGTACCATTCCTCCACTATTCGTTTTACTAGACCTTTAAAAACCAGTACTATTTTAAGAATGTAACAAACTTTCTTTGCATAATATAATTGTATGTGAAATCTAGTATTTTGGATTGAGTAGAAAACTTTCTTTACAATAGTATTTCATGTATTTCCTTTTGTGATAATGCAAAAAACTGTAGGTCTGTCATGACTCCTCTGCATTGCCTTTAAAAATCTGTTTCTTTAAGTATTAGACAGATGTTTGATCTAGTAGGATTATGAATTGAATTCATCGAGTTGAATCTTCGTAGGCATTCTTAGAAAATGTGATATGCAGATGAGAAGAAACACATTGAGGCATACAACAATCTTGTACGCATCCTCGACTTACCACAGCTTGACAACACCAGGATTCTAAGGCATTTGATATACTTGAAGGATGATATGATGCCCCTTTATGAAAAGCCTACCAATTCAAGGGTTAACTCTTACACCACATACTTTTTTTTTTTATCCATTTAAGTTCATTTTCCACTAAAAAACATCGAATCCTAACGACTCAAGTGTAACAGGTTCATGTTGAAGCCCTCAGGAGAAAAACAGTCCTGTTACTCATTTCAGACTTTGATGTCACTGAAGAAGAGCTGATGATTCTAAACCAAATTTACAGAAAATCAAGGTCAAAGCCTGAGCTCCAGTATGAAATTGTGTGGATACCGATAATAGACAAGACAGTCCCTTGGAGTGATGCACTACAGCAAAGATTCGAGCAACTCGAGTCCATGATGTCATGGTATACTCTGCATCACCCAAAAATTATGGAGCCTGCTGCTATAAGGTATATTAGGGAGGTATGGAATTTTGAAAAAAAGATGATCCTTGTCACGCTAGACCCCCAAGGGAAAGTTGTATGCCAAAATGCTCTTCACATGTATTTGATTTGGGGAAATATAGCCTACCCTTTTACTACTATGAAAGAAGAAGCTCTTTGGAGAGATGAGTCTTGGACGCTTGAGCTTTTTGTAGATGACATCAAACCTGAAATCCTTGATTGGGTATATCCTCTTTCATATCGCTGTCAAATTTCACTGTTTTTTTTTAACAGTTTTCGGTTCTTTTACTTCTTCTGTATGATATTTCAGAGAAAAGACAGAGAATAGATCAATAGATTCATTGCATTGGCATAACCACAACGAGTTTTATGCTTAATAAATGTGTGCCTTGTTTTTTTCGTAGGCTCATGAAGGAAGGTATGTTTGTGTGTATGGAGGGGAAGACATGGAGTGGATAAAGCGGTTTACTCACACTGCCAAAGAAGTAGCAGCCGCGGCAGGAATCACTCTAGAGCTAGTATATGCCGGGAAAAGCAATGCAAAAGAGCGAATGAGAAAAATCGTGACAACCATAGACAGAGATGGACTTAGCCATTATTTGCCTGACTTGAACTCAATGTGGTACTTTTGGATTAGGCTCGAGTGCATGCTGTACTCGAAAATGCAACATGGAAAGGGTGTTGAGAGTGACCCAATTATGCAAGAAGTGATGACAGTGCTTAGCTTCGATGGAAGTGACCAAGGGTGGGCTACTATGTGGTTCGGATTAACTGATATGGCTAGATCCAAAGGGGACACGATACTAGATTGCCTCATGATGTTTGAAGATTGGAAGGAAAATGCATCAAGGATAGGTTTTTTACCTGCTTTAAAGGAGCATTTGCAGGCTCTTCATACTCCACACCACTGCAACCGGCTTATACTTCCTGGGGTTGGAGGCGGTATCCCTGAGAGGGTGGTGTGTGCCGAGTGTGGAAGACCTATGGAGAAGTACTTCATGTACCGCTGCTGCACTGATTAAAACATGTTAATCTTCTTTAACCCAAGCTTATTCAGTTCATTCGATTTTTTTTATATGATAAGTTTATGCAGTGTATAACAATTTTATGGTTAATGAGTGCCAAGATTCTGCTATGTTATAAGTAATTACTGAGTTTTAGGTCTTTGTAATAGTCTGCAACAGAGTGTGTGATCATGTAATGCAGTATTAAGATTAAGAATGTCTTTAAAAAAGATTATTAAATTCTAGTTACAAAGTTGTTCTTTTTTCTGATTTAAGTTTTTCAATACATAAATTCCCTACAAATCTTGTCCACACATTTTATTGACGATAAGACTTGAGCATATTAGACGACAAACTGATTACTCCGATCCCTTGGTCTATGTAACAAATTATACCCCTAAAATGTAAATTGAGACAGGACTCGGAGAGGATAAAAGTTCGTAACAACGATTTATTGCTCAATGATCTACATAATCCAATTTTCACAATATCATAATGATTACTAGCATTAAAATTAGTAATTAAGTACTCCTACCCTATAATTAGTTAAAGTTGCCAAAGACATTTTTGGCACAAATATTACTATTACTAGCATCAATTAATGAAAAAATAGAATGTGTTCTTATAAAAATAACCAAAACTAAAACAAGATTAATAATAAAAAAAAAATCATGCTATAAACAGTTGAAAATGTCACTATGTATCCTTGCCCAAAGGGCACGTTAGAGACCCAACCAACCCAAGTCGTCGCAAAATAATCAAAGTCTCGGTCAATAGTAGGCCCAATAACCTTAATATTCCACACGGCAATTGCCTTTATAAATTAATTCTTCTTGTAATACTCACTTCATCAACTAAACTTGAGAAAATAAACACCAAAATTTTCTACACTTTCAAGCTCCAATGGAGCTTACATTTACTAGTTTTCAGTTGTACTTCTGCCTGCTCTTTTCTCTCGTCTTCGCCGTTCATGCGAAGATATACCTCGACCCATCCGACTACAAAGCCTTTCAAGTCATCCAAAGAGACTTAGGCATAAGTGATTACCACCCTTCTTTTACTAGAACTCCTTGCAACTCTCCTGCTGTTTCTTGTGAGCGGAGAGTTGCGAGTTACAACTCTGTTTTGAAGATCACTCGTATTGTTTATGAGTCGGAGCAGCTTGACGGGTTCATTTCTCCGGTTATTGGTCAGCTCTCGGAGCTTAGAGAGCTGACTTTGTCAACTAATCATCTTGTTGACCAAATACCAGAAGAAATTGTTGACTGTTTGAAACTTGAGGTTCTTAACCTTAAAAATAACCATTTTACTGGCCGTGTGCCCTCTGAATTGTCGAAACTTGTCCGTCTTCGAGTGCTTGATCTTTCCATGAATAGGTTTGTTGGGGATTTGACCTTCTTGAGGTACTTCCCGAATTTAGAGAGCCTCTCACTTGCTAATAATCTATTCACTGGGAAGGTTCCAGCATCTTTGAAGTCGTTTAGGAACTTGCAATTCTTTGACATTTCTGGGAATGATTATATTCAAGGTCCATTACCTGTTCTAAAAGGGGTAGAATATATATCATCAGAAGTGTCAAGGAAGAGCTTAGTTCCAAGAAGATATATACTTGATGTAAATACAACTAGGGGCAACCACAGTCCAAAAGCAAGCTCTGGTCCTGCTCAAGCTCCTTCGCCATCTCCACCTAAAACTAAGCGCCACCACAAACGCAAGAAGCTCGCAGCGTGGCTACTTGGGTTTCTTGCTGGAGCGATAGTGGGGGGTATATGCGGGATGATATTTTCGGGACTTGTGAAGATGTGTTTAGTTATGTTACGTGGTGGAGGGAAGGGTGCCGGACCATCAATCTTCAGTCCACTTATTAAGAAAGCAGAGGACCTTGCTTTTTTGGAGAAAGAAGATGGTTTGGCAAACTTACAGTTGATAGGAAAAGGTGGATGTGGTGAAGTATACAAAGCAGAGTTGCCAGGGAGCAATGGCAAGATGATTGCAATAAAGAAGATACTCGAACCGCCTAAGGAGGCTGTGGAGCTCACTGAAGAAGATAGTAAGATGTTAAACAAGAAGATGCTTCAAGTTCGATCGGAGATTAAAACAGTTGGCAGAGTCAGGCACCGCAATTTGCTACCTCTCCTTGCTCATGTGCCACAATCCAACTGTCATTTGCTTTTGTACGAGTATATGAAAAATGGTAGTCTACAAGATATAATGGCACAACTTGCCAATGGAACCACAGAGTTAGATTGGTTATCTCGATATAGAATAGCACTCGGAGTGGCTTCTGGAATTGAACATCTCCATATGAACATTAATCCCCGTATCATTCACAGGGATCTCAAGCCAGCCAACATCCTCCTTGATGATGATATGGAGGCTCGAATTTCAGATTTTGGGCTTGCAAAGGAAATGCCAATCGAGAATACCCACATGTCAACTTCAAATGTTGCTGGAACAGTTGGGTATATAGCTCCAGAGTATCACCAAACTGTGAAGTTCACAGACAAATGTGATATATTCAGCCTTGGGGTGGTTCTTGGAGCTCTAGTGATGGGAAAGTTACCGGGGGATATTTTCTTTCAAGACACAGCTGAGTTAAGCTTGGTGTCATGGATAAGGAACGTCATGATTTCGGAGGATCCTAAAAGAGCAATTGATCCTACGCTAATGGGTAATGGGTATGAAGAGCAAATGCTTCAAGTGCTCAAAATTGCTTGCTTTTGCACTCTAGACGATCCTAAAAAAAGGCCTAACAGTAAGGAAGTTAGGTGTATGTTGGCTCAAATCAGTCACTTAAACTTAAGCTAAATATTTACCAAAATGGAAGCAAATGTAGACTATATAGTATGTAATTCGGCCACACGAAAGCATATCTAATGCATCAATTAAGTGTCTGATTTTAAAAATATGTTATTGAATCAAATATCATCAAAATGTTTTCTGATACTTTATGTGCTACCACTCAAAAAAAATGAGGAGCAATTGAACCTTTCTGTGACAAGCACGGCATAAATGTATGAATAATAGAAAATTTTGCACAGGAAAGCCAAAATACAGCTCAGTCATGCAAAGATACTCATATCAAGGTGCAGTAGTTTCAAATATAATCCTCTTTATTCACACTATTGATGATTATAACATGTATTGAAGATTCTAAGTTTGAATATTCTAACGTTTGATTTCACTTACTCCAAAATCACACATTGTTTTGACTAAACACAAACATCACAGTCCTTGCAGTGCCTCAAAAGTCCAGCAGTAATTGAGGGAGAATTCGTTCTAAATGAGTTCCTTCAATCTGACTAAGACCTTCTGCTTCAGCAATGGTGGCAGCCCTTTGAATGGCCTCTGAAATGAGGTTATAGTTTGAATAAAAATTTCCATATGTCAAGAATATCATTGGAAATGGTAGAACAAAAATAGCTAAAAGCAGACCTGTGATGAAGATCCGGAGAAGTTCACAACTCAGTTTCACAGCAGTTGCATTAGCTGAAGTTTACAAGTCAATAAAGCATTTATTACATGATTCTTTGCATCTATTAGTTCAAGCTAAATTAATGAAATAAGAGAATCAGCATCAAAAGTACCAAAACAAGAGTCTCCCCACCCCCTCTTTTCTCACCCCCGGCAAAACAAGAAGGGAAAAAAGACGAGATAAGTAGAGATTATAAATTGGGATTAACAACAGGCATCATGGATTTTACATGCACTCTTGACATTTATGGATTTAAATAAAAGTAGCAAATAAACCCAACACTGCTAAAGTTATCTTCATCACATTAATATGAAGAAAGCTCTAGCTTATATAATGTAGATATATTGCTGACATTATGTAATTGATAATTGATAACACTAAGAACAAATGACTTGCAAAATGATCGCTGGCAAAAGTTTCCTTTATGATCATTAGCTAAAAAGCCTGTCATGAAAATCATTTGACCATCAAGCATTAATGTGGTTGAGGCGCTATGTAGTTTGTGTGATTCAGAAAGCCACACCAACATAAGAAACAAACTGAGAGCCCTTATTTCAAACAAGGGAAGTCCACACCACAGATGAACCTAATTTCTACAACGATACTTTTTCTGAAGAGAGAAAACACAAAACTCTCTGGCTACTGGAGCTCTGGGTATCACGACAAAAACAGTATTCAAACATAGAAATCAACCTCCAAAGCAGAAGAAAAACAGGATTGCACTAGGCTCATAAGATTGGGCTCAATTTGTATTACTTGTATAGAAATATAGATGACAATCAGCCCCATATTACCAAACTAAGTATTGCAAGACAGTATGCAATCAGAAATAGTTTTAAACGTGTCACATTGAAATTCAAACAAGACCTTTGCAAGTATGCATACAAGATTAAACATTAATGAACATGACCGTGTAATTTTATGTACCAGATGTTGGCCGAATCTTTTTAGCTCCAGCTGTTACCTGCAGCAACCAAAATTAAAAGGCATCAGATCTACTTCTTCGGAGTAGTACAGAGTACATGTCAAATGGTAGAAAATCATAAAACTAACATTCGTCAAATTCATCATCATTGATCATATAATTTGAAATTACTGTAGATTAACAAAGCACACTTCAACTTTACAAACAAGCCAAGTAAGAGTTCAATCATATAACAGAAAAACGTATGAGATAGGAATCATAGGATCATGAACGAAGATTAACAAAGAGAACAAATATAAGTTGAAAAGGGTAAACATCTTGCAAGGATAAAAGCATTACAAATAATAGTAAGATTATGAAGGGTTTGCTTCAGCTAAATGAACCAAACAATGAGAATTATATCAGCAATACATATTATATAATCCCAGCTGATCGTGATTAAACAAACATGACAAACAATGAGTGCATATCCATATCCTAGTATCCTACACCCAAAAAGAAAAAAAGAAAAAAAAATGTTCTATATACAATGCAAGATATCGAAATCAATCTAAGGTTATCGACTTATCAGTAGGCTCGTTCCTTTCGAGTTTCAACCTTCACCAACACACTCTAACACAGCACCCGAGCCACTTATCTTAATAAAATTACCACTCCCCATTAGAACCTCCACAAAACCTATTTTCATATGTTATGTATAATGTTCATCATCATGAAAACACAACAATTTCAACAATGTAGCTTATATTAACAGTTAGACGCCGCCATTTACACCAAGTTTCATCAATTTCGATATCGAATTCACACCAACAAATGAACAAACATACATAAAACTCCATAATAGCATTGTTCAGAAAGCCAAAATGTCACCAAACTAAATTAAAATCCAAACATTTTTCTGTAACTAAAAATACTCAAAAATCAATTACATTTTGCTCAATTTGACGAATTTAATTAAAATTATAAACAATGATTAAAAAATGAAGCGTCGGAATTTACCTCATTGTCCAGATTATCAATGCCTTCATTCCTTTCTCTCTCTACAATCACAAAAATCAAATTAAATGCATAATTAATCACAAATTACGCGATTAAGACAGTGATTAACATTTAGGAGAGAGAAAGAGAGAAAACCAAGTGCTTTTTTGCGCCAGACGAGCTTGAAAATGGCGTGAACTAGGTCCTAATTACCGAAAATTCACCAAATTAAAAAATAATTAAACAGCAATTAAAATTCATAATTAAAGGAATTAAAATAATGTAAATAGGAAGAAGAAAAATTTACAGGATCAAAATTATCCTCCATTTTTAGAGAGAAAATTCAGGTGTTTTAATGGAATCCAAGTTAACTGGAAATGGCGCTTTTTGTTTTTATCTCTCTATTTATTTGCGATTTTTTTTGTATTTTTTTGTTTTGTTTATTTAAAAATAAATTTTTTTTGGCAAAACTAATAGAAAGGCCCCTATAGCTCAGTGGTAGAGCGTCAGTCTTGTAAACTGAAGGTCTGAGTTCGATCCTGCATGGGGGCATTTTTATTTTAAATTATTTAACTCATGATTTTTGGATTTGAAACTTGAAAAATTCCAATAGTAAGATATTTGAATATTCCAATAGTATGACATCAATACATCATGTTACAAATAGGTATTCTTTTTATGAAAAGGACATTAACGATTATGTTGTCATAGTATAAAAGTATTATATACCATCATGAATGGAAGATTGACTTACTTGTGTGCGAATTATTAAATTCCAAAAAAATATGCTAGAGGTTTTAAGTAGAGTAAAAATAGTCGAAAGTTGAAATTACTTGATAAGAATATTTCAAATTTGTATGACCTATATTGAATTAATTAATAATTTACTAAATACTCTACTTCGTATATGAAAAGAATTTAAAAAAAAAAAAAAGAATTTCCTATATTCTCGCTGGGTACATCAAATTTTATAATTACTTATGTGTCCTTTCAAATTCTTCTTAAGTTTGAAGAATTCTAATATTCTATCAATCCTTGACTTTCAACTTTATTTTGACTTGATATACTTCCTCCGTTAATTTTTATTTGCAACTTTTGCCATTTTAGTCCGCTAAAAATTATTTGCAACTTTCTAATTTATTTCCATTTTTGGTAAACAAAAACCCTGAAAATTACTATTTTACCCTTACTTAAATTTTTTGATTTTTTTAATTCTACCCCTTATTAACCCTAATCCCACATTATATACAAAACATCTAAATTAATCTAATCTAATTACTCCCTCCATTTATTTCCCCCAATCCAATCCCATCAGGCACATTCCCAACCACCAACATTTAATTGAAAAAATCGTGGGATTATTTCTGGCTTCTCGAGTCTTCTTAAGAACCCTAGATCCGGTTCTTCGACTTTCACTCTCCTTCGCCTCTGTAATTTTCTCCATTGTTCCTCCTGAAATCTGAGTTTTCGTCCTCTCAACTTCCAAAAAAAAGAGTCCCCCACCACCATGGTTACCTATCTCCACTTCGCGACGCTTATATTGCCACCGATGACTGAGGCGAGGAAAACTTGATAAAAACCCTGATGACAGGTATCGCCGAAGGATCTCCTTTTCCTCGTGACTTTTACGCGTGTGAGGAGGCCCTGAATTACTGTTCTTCGACCACATACAAGGTCTTGGGCCAAGTTCTTGAAAGCGTAGACGAGGATGAGCGTCGCAACACCGGTGAGGGTCAAGGAGATTCACGGGGGAAACAAGCGCTAGACTGTACTGGTGTTTCTGTAGATCCAGTGTGCGACAGTGCTGAAGGGAGTGTTATGCCCAAAACTAAGCCCAGATCTAACAATCCAAGGTCACCCCCCAAGATTCGGGCTAAAAGGAAGGCGGCCCTGGTGGCTTTGAGTCGTATTCGGGGGTTGCCTGACAAGGAGGTCATTCTCCTGACTTCTGATGACGAGGCTGACCAAGGTGACGACGGTGAAGTGGTTGGCCCTCCTCTGAAGAAGCACTCTGCGAGGCGGATGAACCGTAGGGTTCAACCCTCCAAGTGACCCATGCGTAACGCTTTCTAACCCTTCCTGTGTTGATTTTTTAAAAAAAAGAGTCCCTATTTTTTGATTTTTTTGATATACTGTTGATTAGCTTTGTTATTTGGTTGGTGTTGTGGGATTCTGTGACTAGATTTGGATGCATGTTGGCTTAGTTAGTTTTGTATGCGTAGATCTGGATTGATGTTGGATGGTTGCCTGTTTTTGATTGCCTGCTCTTTTGTCATGTTTGCTGTTCCGGAATTTGTTGGCTAGATAGGTTGTTTGTTATTGGCTGGTCAGTTGGATGCTTGGCTATGTCTGCTGTTTTGGACTATGTTGCATGTATGCATGTGTTGGAGTATATTTTAGCAACTGTTGGATTGTTGGAATATGGCATATGGTGTTTGATTGATGAATGATGAGGCTAATGTGTCTGTACACTTTTTAAAGGTGCCTTGGTCATACCTTGAAGTGTTCTCAATGATCAATTAAGTAGAGAACACATGACAGTCCCTTATGTGGTAGCATGACTTGTATTCAGTCCCCTAAGTGTCTGTGTTGTGTACTCTGTCCAAATCCAAATGAGGAAGGGACTCTATTGACCTTCCCAACCCATAAGTGTTTTGCTCCAATGATGTGCTTTATGCTGTTATTGTTGAGGTAACCTTGTGGTTGGTAGTTTATTGAAACATGGAAAAAAAAAAAACTTCTGATGGATTGAGTGCCCACTTAACATCAGACTCTTAACCATTTCTATTCCATTGAACATGTGGTTACAAAAGTACTCTACATTAGACTGCCTAACATGATTCATCACTGTAATCAACAAAATACACCTAACCACCTAATACCCGAATAAAAAAACAGAACATAAAACAAAATTACCATACCAACTGTAAGTGGTTATGTGTGGCAGTCCATGTGTCTCTACTTTGATGTGATGAGTCCCTCAGTCTGCATCTACCTCAAATTCTTCTGTTCCTTGTTCAATCCCCTCATTTACTGGCCTAAACATAGTGTATAGGTACTCCACTGCCTCTAAAACAAGTTCCTTCTGCACTGGTACATGATTTGGCAACTCTCCAAGGTTTTCGAGTTTTTTCTTGTTCATGTGGGGTAATTTGTACTTATTCCCACCTTGTACCTTAAGGATCTCAATCATGCACTTTTGCAAAGACAGCCAAATGTACTTGTTGACTTGAGGATTGAATGCCTCATAAGATTCTTGCACTTTTGTAACTAACTCATCTAGGTTGTTAGGAAAAGACTGATATTGCAATGATTGAATTGACCTAAACAACCCTTAGTCAAGCACATTCAAATCTGGTGATTGTGGTGGTTGGAAAACAAATTGAATGTTAAATCCATGAGCTGTTGTTGCTGCTATAAACTCTGCATCAGTAGGAACTTGGTGTGGCCTTGCATTGTCCCATTGGATTACAATATTTTTTGGCTGACTATCAGGCCACTTTGAAATAATTGCTGGAATGACATTGGCCACCAACATGTCTCTGATGACCTCTCTATTTACATTTTGTATTGCTTTTGTTTCCCATGTTCCTGCTACTTTGTTTTTACTTGACTTCTTGGCTAGTTGTTTGACTGTGAATGGGAAAATTCCATATTTCCCATCATGAAGTAGTCCCCCATCTGTGTCATACAATGGCTTCCCAATTAAGCCCATAAACATTACTTTGAGCTTGAATCTTGTGGACTGTATAGGCCTATAAGGATCTTCCTCACTAGGTAGGAGGTAAAACCTCCTCTTGTCAGGGTTCAGATAGAACCATTTCTCATCCATGTGTATCACATTGTTCATTTCAACAAATGTTGGTTCCCCATTACTTGTAACTGGATTTATGTGTGACAAAATCCATTTCATTCTTGCTACCTTGTGGTCTGATGTCAGTGCTGGCTTGTTGGTACTTGTGTGTGTTCTTAACCTTCCCTTTTTCTTCAAATTGTGAAGTGTCACATGGGAGATCTTTAATGCTGCTGCATAGCTCCTTTCTGTCTACTTTAAATGTAAAGGCACTGATTGTAGGAATTCATCAGAAAATTCCTTTGGCTTTCTGCCTACTCTGCCAATTTTTTTGCTCCTTGACATCAATCAAACTGCCCTGTGCCATTTGTTTCTTTATGTCTGCAAAAATTCTTGTGATGCTTGATTTGTGCACATTGTAATTAACTGCCAAATGCTTTAAGTGACCTCTTGGTAAGTTCCTTTGCTGCATGTTGACCAACATTGAATTCACAATTTCTCTTCTTTGTTTCATGGTGAGCTGCTTTCTTTGTCTCTGTTGAGTCCCCTGGTGAATGGCTTGTTCCATTTCCTGGAAACCAGCCTCAGCTTGTGTGTGTTCAGTGTTTTGCTGGCCTTGGTCTTCTCCTTCTGTGTCTTGCATCATATCATCTTCAGAGTTGTAGTAATCCATGCCTAGATCTTGCATAATTTCTGCGTATTCGTAGTACAATTCTGCCTCTTCTTCTTCTGTCAAAATTTGATCCACATCAAAGTATGTCGCTTCAAATGAGTCTGCCATGGTTATCTGACCTTGCTTGTTTCCTTAGCTTCAGCTGATTGATGTAATGGTGGCTGCTGTGTTTTTGGGAACAAGATGAAGGAAGAAGGAGCTGCAGCTGCCTATGAAGGTGTTTGGGTCTTAGTTGGGTAGTATTAACTTAATTGTAGGAAATTTTTTGGTATATAATGGGCTAACGTCGTGTAATTTGTAAGGTAGATTATCTTTTGGAGGAACAATATTTATGTTTTGGGTGAACAAGAAACCATTAAATGCTGTTTGAATGGAGAGGCTGTATTTAATTGCCTCTGTAATATGAAATGCAGTGCTTATATAAGTCTGCAAAATTTAAACAGTACACTGTTTTGTAGTTTAAAATTTTGGAAAATTTTGGTGGGAAATGAAATTTCTCCAAATTTCAGCCTAAACCAAAATTTCGCTGAAATTTTGGGGGGAAATACAGTCCCTCCAAAAGTTGTACAGGTTTTCCCACTACTTTTCTTAGTGGTGGGCCAAACCTTTCTCTCTCCAAACACTTTAATCACATTCAATTAACCCCACTAATATTTGCCTCTTAACTTTTGCCTCGTGAACCGCAATTTGCCCCAAAGTTGCAAATAAAAATTAACGGAGGGAGTATATTTTATACTTAACAATTGAATCTTATCAAAGGTGAGGAAATCTTTTTAACATAGATATAACATTTGTGGTACTTCCACATTATATTCCATTATTCATATCTCTATCAATTACTAATTAAAACTAGCTATCTACAACTATTAAAATAAAATGGCATCGAATGTAACACAATGTAGGCCTAAGAGGTTATGTGGAAGTACTTGATACATGCTACTATGTCTAATTTTCTTACCAAATTACATTGCTCCTAGTTTCGATTTGGTAACCATCAACATAAGATACCCTAGTTAGCACTTGGCAATAAGCAATACGCTTGGTATTTTGACCCGATCTTAATGCCTATTAACCCATTAAATTAGGTTACTTTGTCCAATATTCGGTTTCACTATCAATCAAGGAGTACAACTACACAAGGAATCAATCAGGACTGTCATCTCAAGTCCAACTCCTAGTTTTGATTTGTTAACTATTGACATAAGATATCCTTGTTAGCACTTGGAAATACACAATAAGCTTGGTATTTTAGCCCGATTCCAATGACTATTAACCCATTTGGTCAATGACAGATCCAGGGGTTGGCCAGCCCAGGCCATGACCCGCCCCATGATCCAGAAAACTATATAACAATTTAAATTGCTAAAAAATGAATGCGAAGCACCTTGGCTAAGTTGTTTCCATTCGGCAAAGTCCAAACACTGATGGTTCAGAGATCGAATCCAGCAGGCCACAAGTTCTATTTCCTTTTTTATTTTTATTTTTTTTTAATTATGCTTTTTGATTTATAATTATCTGGTTCTTATAATCTTTTCTTTTTATTCTTGGCGTAGTAATTTAAAATTAAGATAATTTATAAATAAACTTTAGAGAATTAGGTATGGCCCGGTCTATATTTAATTCCTACATCCGTCATTACATTAGGTTATCCTGTCCAAAATTCAGTTTCACGGTCGATCAAGAAGTACAACTGCACAAGGATTCAAGGACTACCATCTCTTAAGTATTGGTTTGGTAAATCGTCAAGTCCAATATATGTCATTCGTGGACCTAGTTGTGTATAAGGCCCAGCATTCCAGACTTTTGGGTTGGTATAGCTTATTTAAATGTATCATTTACTGATAGAAAAAGTTTTGGTATAATTTGTTGTGTTCTTCAGTCCAACTTTATTCAAGCCCAGTACAGAAAAAACAATACGAAAAAAAAAGTGTTTTATTATGTAGTTTCCCATAAAATAAGTTTTGAGCATGTAACACATGCGTATAGATTTACTAACAATAACGAGCATATGAAAAGTTAATCAGGCTTTTTTTTCAGTTAACTTTGTAATTAGGGTTTACCATACGCCGTGGAGGATTCAGTTTCTGAGATGGTGAGTCACTAACAATTATTGATCAATTGTGAAAGTATAATTTTATTTTATTTTTTTTCCATATCTTGTTCATAATTAATTTCAATCCAAAAATTATATATAAAAAAAAAAAATTATATTTCACCAAATTGATTTCAATCCAAAAATAGGACACAAAAATTCATACTACAACCAAATAGTACTTAAGAATTCAATCTTACAAGTCGAAAGTACTACAAATAACATGTTATAAACAAATGGTACTGTAAAAACTATTATATTGAATTAACTTTATGATTTTTTTTTTCTTTTTTTTAGTTAATTGATAAGCTTTATGGGAAAATATTAAAATTGGTTGCACAAATATAGGATATAAATAGGAAAACAAAAATTATTAAAAAATTATACAAAAAAATGTGAGATAACTTAAGAGACCGATTATTATATATAACTGGTCTCTTTAATGAAAAAAGAAAGCAGCGCAAAAAAGTGGGAAATGCAATAGCAGCATCAAAGAGACCTGTTATATAAATAACCGGTCTCTTTAATATTTTAAAAAAACACACTTACACGGCGCAAAGCGGTTGTAGCAATAGCAGCATCAAAGAGCCGCCTATCTATAATAAGCGGTTTCTTTGATATTTTTTATAAAAAAAAAAAATAATTTTTTTTTTTTTACTAGTGAGTCACATGCACCACTATGCTCATGAATAGATCCGCCCTGACCATACGAAGTACTACATTATAAATTGTGCAGATACTCCCTTTGTATTTTAATACTTGCTCCATTTCTCCGGACATGGAGTATTAGGAAGAATTGTAGAAAATATTATTTTATGACGGAACTGGGGTTGGTTGAAAATAAAAAAAAAATTTGTGAAAAAGCAAAAATGGGTATAGTGGGGAGGAGAGAGAATATAAAAAATACAGTATTAAAGTACAATATGAAGGGACGGATCAATAGTGATAATGAAAAAATTTCATTAAATAAAATAAAATTCAGAAAATGATGACAATCATTTACAGTTTTGGAGGGAAAATTTTTAATGACAATATGACATGTGTCTAATTTTAGAATAGGATGATGTCAGCGGTTGTTATTTTAATATTAGCTATAGATTGTTAAGAGTTTTCAAATAGAAAATGAACTAATAAAATACGGCCGCAAAAGAAAAGTGAAATAAATAATACAATGCAATAAATCTTGTGTAAGGCGGGTGTACATTAATTTTTATTATAAAACGGTCAGTTTGAGGGTAACTCTAACTATTTTTTTGGTAACTTTAACTACTTAAAGGGTAACTTTTAATTTTTCGTTGGTTTGAATTAATTTTAATGTGTAATTTCTTATAGATTCATGTCTACATAATATAAAGGTTAATATGATTAATCTAATACATTATAAGTTTTTTATAAGATAAAATTTATTATTAGAAAAATAATAAATTTTGTAGTATAAAGAGTAACTTTAATTACTTTTATGATAATTTTAACCCGTCTTACAATAAATTAACGTACACCCGCCTTTTTGGAGAATTTGTGTACAATACGGAGGGAGCTGAGTATCAAATGAGACAAGTATTTGAAAACAAAAGGAGTATTTGTATTTGATTTGGTAAATATGAAAAGATCCTAGGCATATACTGATGATGATCTTTGGCTAATTGGCTAGGATATATTTGGTGAACAAATTATAAAAACAAAATATCATTGATATGAGTGATGCAATGAGCATGAAAAAAAGTGCAATTAGTTATAATGTCTAAGCGAAGCAGTACTAGGGGAAGAATAATTTGATTTGGTTGATCCGATATTATACAAGAAACTAACATATAATATGTAAGTTTAACTAATTTTTCTTTTTATAGAAAGTTTAGCTAATAAAATAATAGTAATAATTAATTATGAACTAAGACGTAAGCAATTACGCTAATATGATATAATTGCAAATTTGTTTAGTGGAGTTATAGTTGAAGTTGATACTGTATTGATGCTTAATTCCTTTAATTAAGCTAATTAATATAATTAATTAAGATAATTAGTGTAAGCCACATGCTCCCACAAAAATGGAGTTTAACAAAGTGATTTTAGTAAGCATTCCCCCAAAATAATGTCGTTATTATTGGCAGGAGGGGATGATTAGAAACTTGCCTTTTTGCTAAGCATCTTTTGTTTCAACTTTTGCGTAGAATAACTCCAAGGAAGTAGCTTTAATGCATTGCATATTTGCATGCCTTCTTTTCATACCATAAGTTTATTAAATTAATATTTTGACTCTCTTCAAGGCTTCAACAAAACAAAATATTGTACCCAAAAAGATACGTATATAATACATAATGTATAAAAAGTCATACGTCGTATTTGACATTACATTAATAGGTCCATATTAATTCATAGTGAATGAGTATGCTACATACAATATAATTTAATAAGATTATTGTCTTATAACCAAATTAATAAAATTATAAAATTAAAAAATCCTGGTTAATAGAGTAAACCGCAAAAAAAAAAAAAAAAAAAAAAAAAAAAAAAAAAAAAAAAAAAAAAAAAAAAAAAAAACTCTAGAAATTCATACAAAATGCAATATGCATGTGTATACCTAAAGTTTTCACTAATCAAAATCAATAGTCCATTTATGTTGTTATGCCATGTGCGCAGAGCATATTGCTTCCAACACGTACGGGTGCATGATCATGCATTCATGTGTTTCTAAGTTCTAACTTTCTACATAATTTGTTATATGTACTGTTTTTAAACTATTACAATTTACAACAAGTTCGATCACTAGCTATATGCTCAAAGCTCATATATGACGTGCTTTTGTTACATGAAAAATGTCAATATGACCTTTTTAATTACAATATTTACACATCTCACTTGAGAAAATGAGTCATAGAGTACGTATATTTTTGGGTTCTCAATTTTAAAATTATATAATTGTTTGATTATATATACTTTAGAAGATATGATCCCTTTAAGTTAATTTGAATGCATCATGCTTGCTTTGAGCATCGTGCACTAACATGAAAACGAACGC